CCTACACCTTGACACCATCCCTATCCTATGAGACTTTATTTACAGACAGGATTTCAAGTCTCCTAAGCTTGACTTGAACTAATCTTTCTGCCTTATGAGGTTATGATATTTCAAGGAGTGCTTCTACGCCCAGATCTTGTGGGTTTTTAGTCATATGTTCCCTTGACTAACAAGACATATCTGAGCAGATACAAAAATGGAATATTCTGCAAAGCCTTTGAAGTTGACACAGGTGAAAGATGGTTCCTAAACCCTAATGAGAACATCAAAATGCTTATTAAAATGCACTTCAGTGGATTTATAGGAGAGTGGGCAAAGCAGCTACAGTTTCATTGAGTACCTTTGCTAACTTGGGTAAATATGAGGTCTGGTTGTTGATATCCCTAAGCAGTGGGTAAAGGACTTCAAATCTAGAGAATTCATGGGGGTTGGACATCTCCACTGCAAACCCTTATAGACCCTTCCCCAAGCAGGGGAGAACAATTCAAGAGTGAGAACAAAGGTAAAGTGAACATAGTGTTTTATACTGCCACTCTTAGTAGAAGGAAAAAATAATGTCAGCCCTGAGAATAATAATGTTTAAGATGTGGAAATCTAGAACTTCATATCACAGCCTCTATCACTTAATAGTTCAAATAGCCATGCAGCCATTTGTATAATTGTATTTATAATTACAAGTATTGCTACTAATAGTTGCTTATGAATATGAGTCCTCTCTGAGGGAAAAAAACATATCGATTTTAAGCTTCAAAGATTAGAAAAAGAATCAACACTTACAAAGTTACAAACAAAACTCTAAAGGAAAAATAGCAGGAATATACTCCCCAAGCTCTTCTTTCAGACAAGATAAAATAATGACTTTGTTTAAGGCCATTAAAGATAGGTCTGACTATGTTAGCTAGCATAATAGCTATGAAGAAGAATTGCATAGAAGGTTTATAGATTAAATCTGAATTATTGAATTTAAAACACCAGAAATACATTTAACAGATTAAGTGGGGTTATGAAAAATTAACAAACTGTTTTCTCAAATGAATTTATTAATAATAACACACAGAAAAAAAAACACAAACACATAAAAAGCCTTTGGAAGATAGTTTTAAAATGTGGAAGATATAGAAGGAAAGGATCATCAAGTGAAGATATAAAGGAAACAAAAAAGTTTTGTTTGAAAAGCTGATGATGAGCACTGTCTAAAATACCATAGATGAAAGACAAATGTAAATCAACAGCTATAAGTACAACAAATTGGATCTACAACTAAAAAGAAGCTCATACCTATAAACAGTACATGGAACCACAGACATCAAAGACAAAGAGATTTTGAAAGGAGCTGGGTGGAAGAAAACAAAACATAGCTCAAATGGAAGGCTGTGAAATCAGTTTTCTACAGGATGCTTGGCCATCCAAAGGGAGTAGAACTGTGTGTTGACAAACAGAAAGAACTGCCTGCCTATAAAACTGTGTGCTTTGGAAAATGATTTTAATAGTGAAAATGTATCTTTGCATATCAAGAGCATAGCAAAGGTACCCTGGGAAGCTCAGACTAGTGAAGCCAAGGAAATGACCACAGGCCAAAGGCCTCAATGTAGTAAGGAACACAAGGCTGATGACATGGGACGTAGAAATGTTAGCATGGCAGCTGATGTGTAATAGGATTTTAAAAGCAAGGGAGAATTAAAATTCATGAGTTGTTAACATATTTCAAGATGAGAGTGAAAGAAGGAAAAAGTTTTCAGGTTTAGCTTTTTTCTAGATCCATGGTAATGGAATCAGAATAACAGAAAAGTAGGCCAATCCTAACTGGCAGAAAGAAAGGGATTGGATAATCATATAATCCAACATTTAAAAAGATGGCAATCAAGAAGCAAAACTTGAAAAAAATACAATATGAGACAAACAATTTTATCCAAGTGTAAATGAATGAAATGCTAAATATATGGTGGAGAGGGTTGCCAGGCTCTCTGGAAATGATGGAGGATAGCCACAAGTTTGGTCAGAAGAGGCGCCTGGGAAATGTAAGGATGCTGTAGGTTGAGAATAAAACTTCCAAAAATGTGAGCTGCAAATACTAGATAAATGATTGCATGAGTAGCTACAATAGTACATAAAATAGACTCTTAAAAACTAAACCTTAGAGATAAAGATGAGCTTCCAGTAATAAACCTCAACTCATGAACTTTAAAATGTACATGTTCTTGATAATTCAGTAAGAAAGAGGTAAAGCAAAAAGGAGATAGAATTACAAGAGAAAATTGTAAAACTAAGAAAGCCTCTTTAGATGATGTTAATGTTAGTCCTAGTTAAACCAACTAAAATAAGTAGGCAGTCATCCAAGTAACCAATCTGTCTTACCAGACATGATCTGACTTACAAAATCACACTCTCTTTAGATGATGTTAATATTAGTCCTAGTTAAACCAACTAAAATAAGTAGGCAGTCATCCAATTAACCAATCTGTCTTACCAGACATGATCTGACTTACAAAATCACACTCTCACACTGTAGTTTCTTCTTCCTCCTTTTCCTCTGAGTGACAGAGCTAACCCCTATCCTACAGAAGCATCCACACATCTGGAGGACTGAGTCTATATGGGCTTTCATCTGAACATGAGTCATTAAAATAAAATTTCAAAGAAGAGATAACCAGAAATAGCGTGTATGTTTGGAAATAGACATATTAGGTGGTGATAGGGAATTAGGAGAAGTGAGGCAATAGGGAATTAGGGTCTTTGTTACCAGTGTAACTCACATGTGCAAGAGAATCAACATTCCCACCTTACACTAGAATCCCATTTTTTCCTTCACATTTGTTGAACTGACATCATCATCCACCTCATTCATAAGGAATCACTTGTTTTCCTGCTTACTTCATAGTTGTTCCCCTTTTAGTCTTTTATTTTAAAATGTTGCAACTCGCCTTGTCGGCTCTGCTTCATGCCTTCTTTTCTACTACAGAATTTTCCTTAATGAAGGTAACATTGTGGCTAATAATTTGATTGTTAACTCCCTTATTTTTTATAATTTTGCTAATACTGACACTGTAAAACCTAACTCTGTAACGTGAGGCCCAAGTATTGTTGGAAAGACTGCCAGTCCACTTTCATTTTCTCCAGAGCCACAGTGGTGTTTTGCATTTCTCTGAGCACTCCCTCCTCATTGACTCCTCTGCAGACACCCTTCTCTCATACCTGAAATGTCCTCCTTTATTTCATAAGCACCCTACATGATCTTTGTTTCCTATATGCCATAACACAGACAGCACCTTTCTTTTTCTTTCCTTTTCTTTTTTCTTTCTTTCTTTCTTTCTTTCTTTCTTTCTTTCTTTCTTTCTTTCTTTCTTTCTTTCTTTCTTTTTGGTTTTTTGAGACAGGGTTTCTCTGTGTAGCTTTGGAGCATATCCTGGCACTCCCACTCTGGAGACCAAGCTGGCCTCGAACTCACAGAGATCCCCCTGCCTCTGCCTCAAGAGTGCTGGGATTAAAGGCATGCAACACCAATACCCAACTCAGCAGCACCTTTCTTAAAATACCTTGTCAGTGCTGTGTCATGAAATACATTCAAAGAAGGTTGTATTTTTTTGCATGTAGAAAAATCCTTGCTGCTTTTAGGGAAAGAATCCTAAGGGGGGAAAACTGAATAGATAAAATTAGAATTGATGGAGTGACTTAAAAATGTTTGCTGAAAGTAGTAAGAAAGACCATTCAGTAACTGGCAATAACAATAGAGAGGAAAACTATTCAATAGGCAACATAGGGTGTAACAAAATCCAGACTGATGATAATCAATTTCCAAAACCTTTGAGCACTCTGCAGCAAGAGCCACCAGGTCCAGATGTGCAGTTTTTATACTGCACAATTTGCAAGAGGCCCATAAATGTCTAACAATCTATAATGGTGAACTCTCCAATCACAGAAGCCCTGTATGGTTGCACAGCTTCTGTAATAAAATGGATATGTCACATCATCCTCTTTAGAATTCAACTTCTAACTGAAGACTACTAAATGTTTTAGTAAACATTTTGGGTTTTTAAAAATGAAAAAAGTGTGTTTTGTATCCTTTAAATGGTGTATTAGAAATTTCATCATCAAAATCAAAAATGTTAGGTAGCAAATGTAGCAAGTAAATGTAGCATGAAAAAGTCATAAATATGGCAAATAAGTCAGCTATTTACAGGGGAATTGAAACTATCTTAAACTGTGGTATAGTTTGCAAAGTGTGGTTAAGGTTTACGGATGTGAACTTTCATTCTGAGGAAATCACACAAAACCATTTAAAATATATATTTATAAATTTGTCTTACCTATTTTATAAACTAATGAGTACCAGATCCACAGACTGAGTCCAACAAATGATAATTATAATTTATGGATGAAACAGAACCTATTCTGTTTTTCAGTCTTATCCTAATATGAAGCCCTGTCTTGATTTTTATTGTGCATGCATAACTTCATTGGTGCCTGAACATGGAAATAAGAAGTCATGGCAATTTTGTTTTTCCTGGAAGCAGCTAGAAGGAAATAAGAATTTTTATGTTGTTTTTCCTGTAAATATATTTTTTGTAAAGCAACAAGTCTCATTGACTGTTGTCCACTCTGAGAAAAGGTTATTTCCCAGCTCAAGATGAAATTCCTCCATTTTTTTAATTCTCAATCCACCTCTTATACTCACCATTATAAGGGCAATAATGGTACAAGCCTTTAATCCCAGTACTTGGGAGGCAGAGGTAGGCTTATCTCTGTGAGCTCGAGGCCAGCCTGGTCTACAGAACTACACAGAGAAACCCTGTCTCAAAAAAAAAAAAAAAAAAAAAAAAAAAAAAAAGAGGGAACTGTGATTGATATGTAAAATAAGATAGTTTCTAACTTAAATAAAATTTATAGCAAATAAATAAAATAAAATAAAGTCATAAAAATACCCCCTTCATAATAGAATAGGCATTAAGATGACTGTTTTGAAAGCCTTATCTTTCATCTATTTTTAACTCATCTTTTCCCAGATCCCCCAGCTGTGGAACCAGCATTCTTGGAAATCCGCCAAGGACAAGACAGAAGTGTGACCATGAGCTGCAGGGTCTTAAGAGCTTATCCAATACGAGTGCTGACCTATGAGTGGCGGCTGGGGAATAAATTATTACGGACCGGTCAGTTTGACTCTCAAGAGTATACAGAGTACCCAGTAAAAAGTCTTTCCAATGAAAACTATGGAGTTTATAACTGCAGTATCATAAACGAAGCTGGAGCAGGGAGATGCAGCTTTCTTGTTACAGGTAGGATATTAAATTAATTTGGTTTTGTTAATATATAATTTTAGACGGGCAGATCCTGGGCTTACTTGAATGCTGGAATGAAATCATTTTGCGAATGGATAGGTTGTCATTTTGCTGTTCTCATTGCAACTTCTACTGATTATTGTCAGGGAAGGTCTGTCCTTTTGGTAAGAATAATGCCTGTGTCTATAAAACAACAAAGATGAGAAGTGAGAAAGTTCTGATTTTGTTTGTTCATTTCAGTGATAACACAACTGACTGTGGTAACTAGCAGTTCTGAGATAAGATTTCAAGATAAAACATATGGTCTGGCTTTCATTTTTTTATGGGTAGCAGCAATATTTTGTTTTCTTAGTTATTACCTCTCAGTGTCCAAGCCTCAGTGTCTGTTTGTTTTTTATTTGTCACATGTTCTCAAATATTTCATGGCAGAGCAATAAACTATATACAAAGTATGACAAATGGAGGTAAGTACTAATGCTTTTTTAATTTAAATTAGAAACAAGCTTATTTTACATTTTGATGTTGTTAACAACTGTATGTTCCTTTTGTTTAGTTTTAGATGCTTGCTCAAATTATTCTGATGTTCTTTTGCTATTTTTGAACAGAGTTGTAGAATGTATTAAAAGGAAATTACCCCTTCAATGTTATTTTTGTTTTAAGTAAAATTGCATTTAACATTTGTAGTATTGAATGGAGAAGCTGGGCCCTGTGTCATCTCTGAAAAGCTGTTATTAGAAAATGATAAATATATTCTGGACTGAAAACTTGTTCATTAATGAGGAACCTGGGTGTTAAGTTCTGATTTTGATCAATCTCTTTGTACTTTGTCGTTTTGTGAGTCAATTTGACACAAGCTAGAGGTATATGAGAGAAGGAGCCTCAGCTAAGGAAATGCCTCTTTGAGATCCAGCTGTAAGGCACTTTCTCATTTCGATGAGAAAGTTCAATGGGGGAGGGCTCAGCCCATTGTGAGGGGTGCCATCCATGGGTTGCTGGTCCTGGGTTCTATAAGAAGGTGGGTTGAGCAAGCCAGGGGAAGCAAGCCAGTAAGCAGCTCTCTCCAGGGTCTGTGCATCAGCTCCTGCCTCTGGGATCCTGCCCTGTTTGAGTTCCTGTCCTGACTTCCTTCAGTGATTAATAACAGGCTGAAGTGTATGCCAAATAAACCCTTTCCTTCCCAGCAGGGTCATGGTGTTTTGTCACACACAGCAACAGAAGCCTTAAGACACACCCTAATCTGGATTTCCTTTGAGCCATTTTTGCTTCCTAAAACATACTATTAGATTGATGAAATTAACTCGGCTACCAAGGAATATGAAGAGGTCTTCTCTGCTCTGCTCTCCTTCTTTTGATTTTAGAAAACTATTATGGCCCATGTGAATGAAAGCCTTTTATAATTTCTTAAAGTTCACTATTAACACAAGGCCTTGTGTCAGTGTACTGAAATTAACAAGGACTGCAATGTTGTCTGTTATTCAAGAGATTTGTCATGATCTAGTTTACTGACAATCATTTTAAAAATGTTGTTCTATTTTTATTTATTTTTGTGTGCATGTGTGTACATGTATGAGGGCATTCACCTTCCATGCATTTGTTGTCAGAGGGCTTCATGCAGGATTCAGTCCTCTTCTTCCACCATATGAATCCGAGGATGGAAATCGGGATGGCCGGGTTGCTTCCCAAAGACATTACCCAGTTAGTCATATTCTACATATTACTTTCAACAAGAATGGGAATCATGTAGAGGCAATTACTTTTCTCATGTTGGCACAAATGAAGAACCTGACTTTCATTCATTAATCCTTAAAAAAATAGACATCATGAAATTAACTATATGCTTTTCAACTCTTTTGCTTAGACAATTTCCTATTTTCTAAAGTGTCACTGCTCTATAACTGCCTGTGAGGGTCAGGACCACAATGCTTCTGTAAGATTCTCATTTGTTCCTCCTTATGTGACCCAAATTTTCTTTAAAAAGTCGAGGACAAGCTGAGACCAAAAGAAACGTGAAGCACCAGTCTTCCACCTCACATCCATGGGGTGCAGCAAGTGGATTTTGATAACCATGGAAGGGAATAAATCTGTTATGAGTTTCCTCACAGGGGGAAAAGAAATACCCACAGGCATTATTTTTCTTTTCGCAGTGTGTGCTCTTCAAACTTCAGGTCAACAGTTTTGTTTCAAGATTTTCTCATAAAATGAAATGTTTGAAAAAAAAACAGAAAAGGAAAAGATCAAATTCTAAGTAAAGTACAATCCAGACAAATACATAAAGGAGTTGACATTTTCATAGCATATGTGTCAGTGGAAGAGCTATTGAAAGACAACATAGCTCTGTTACTGAATTCTATCACAGTTGGCAACCCCCAGGAGTTCAGCACAACTTTGAATTCTTCTCAACTAACTTGAGAGAAGCAAGGCATAGAGAATGTAGTGACCATTTACCATGTTTGCCTCAGGGAGAATTTTTACAAGGCTTTAGGAATAATATGACACATTATTGAACTAAAATTAACTCATTTGTAAACATGACATTTTAAGTTGTTTTATATATGTTATATGTTCACTTTTATATTAGTACGTAGACATTATAGTTGTTTCTTAATAAATAGTTCTATGTCATTATTGTAGAGAGTTTGAATGGAACTTTCTATTATGCCATGATAAAATGGTTCAAATTATGAAAAGCTTTCTTAAATGCTTGAAAGACCTAGAACCATTTATGTAACAGTTTTAAGTATCTTTCTTATTTGATCCTATCCCATAACTTGATCCAGAAATGATGACAAATCTTTATTGTTTAAATAGACAGGTGACTTGATAACAACATTTCCTATTAAAAGAAAGAAAAAGAGAATAAATTCATTTTAATTAGGAAGAAGGATGCATATGAACAAAGATAAAGAGTAGTTAAGGTTGGAAATGAACAATGTATTTCATTGCAGGCTAATAGGTAACCCCAAACTTGTGTCCATTTATTAATTTGTAGCTCAAAACTTACACTATATGCTAAGATGAAACGTGCAGTAAGTTAAGACTTTTGAGAGGAGAATATTCTGGCTATTTCAGTAGTGCTAGATATAATTGTTCATATTCTCATGAGGGAGAGACAGAGTGAACTCTGAGAAAGAAGAGGGGGGACTTTGAGTGTGAACTGCTGCAAAGACAAACCAAAGAAGCTTGATGTCACCTGCACTGAAATAGAAGAACCTAAGAACCTTGGCAGCTGGTCACAGGAGATGGCATCATGCTTGGCCACAGCTTCCAGAGGTAAACCTTAAGCCACCAGTTTGTAGTAAATTTTATGACAGTCTTAGATAACTAACACGTGTATCTTATTGATCACTTTCCTGGAAAATTCTCTTTAAAATGCAACAAGGCAAAAAGGACTGCTGTGTTATGTGTCTTTGCGATGGTTAGTGAGATTTCTCATGACTCAGCAGAGCTGTACATGCTAGTTGTTCTTGTCTTGTGTAGTCTAAAGGAACCAGGTTACAGCTAACAGTCAGTAAAGCCTAGCAACCTGAGAGATTGACTGATGGCATCCATTTTGTACTTTGGTTTAAGTTATTCATCAGCAAATATTTAGCAATGCCTCCATATTAAAATGTCACCCCAATTTCACCAGATGGTTGAGGGAAGAATTCTACTAAAGCTTAATTGCTGAGATGGGAAAGAACCTGTATGCCAATCCTATCAAGAGTACCATAAATGAAGGAAGACATGGTTTTACTCCTTTTTAACAGAAAGGATCCTGATATTTGTAATAAAACACAGCATTGTTTTATGAAACCCCAAATGATTTGTTTATCAAATGTCCTGGTTTCTACTCCTGTATACTTAGCAATCATGATAAAAGTTCTAAGTGATTCCACATGTTTCTAACCAGTCTCTATATAATTATTAAATAGTTTCTAGAGATGATGATTTTCTTTAAATTTGCAAGTGTGAGGGAAATCAGACATTAAAATCACACACCAAAAGAAAATTATTTCAGGTTAACATTTGATGAGCTGTTTGAATAAAATGAAGATGATGATATCACATGAAAACATAAGCACAGGTATTTGTTACTCTAGTTTAAACAACATAAATATTAAAAGTTATATTGTTTTCATAAGTGACCTGAAAAACTCTACCAGGGAGCTCCTACAACTGATAAACACCTTCAGCAAAGTGGCAGGATACCACATTAACTCAAAAAATCAGTAGCCCTACTATATACAAATGATGAATGTGCCGAGAAAGAAGTCAGAGAAACATCACCCTTTACAATAGCAACTAACAACATAAAATATCTTGGGGTAATGCTAACCAAAAATGTGAAAGACCTGTATAGTAAGAACTTTGAGTCATTAGAGAATAAAATTAAAGAAGATAAAGAAAATGGAAAGATCTCCCATGCTCTTGGACAGGTAGGATCAACATAGTAAAAACGGCAATCTTGCCAAAAGCCAGCTACAGATTCAATGCAATTCCCATCAAAATCCCAACAAAATTCTTCACAGACCTTGAACGAACAGTAGTCAACTTCATATGGAAAAACAAAAGACCCAGGATAGACAAAACAACCATGTACAATAAAGGACTTCTGGAGGCATCGCCATCCCTGACTTCAAGCTCTGTTATAAAGCCATAGTCCTGAAAACAGCTTGGTATTGGCACTAAAATAGACAGGTTGACCAACGGAATCGATTTTAAAACCCTGATATTAACCCACATACCTATGAACACCTGATTTTTGACATAGAAACTAAAGTTATACAATGGAAAAAAGAAAGCATCTTCAACAAATGGTGTTGGTATAACTGGGTTCAGACATGTAAAAGATTGCAGATAGATCTATTATCTATTGCCATGCACAAAACGTAAGTCCAAATGGATCAAAGACCTCAACATAAATTTAGCCACACTGAACCTCCTAGAAGAGAAGGGAGGTGGTACCCTCGAGCAAATTGGTACAGGAGACTTTCTGAACATAATACCAGTAGCACAAA